TTTGTCCTCACCACTCTCTGAAATAGTTATGCGAAAAGTAGATTGTTTAATTACAGGTCATTTTCCAGCAGATATTCATACTTGGTTTAGATACATAGACGATATTTTCTGTATAGTTAAAACAGAATCCTTGGACAGTATTCATACCAAATTAAATTCACTATTTCCGGACATCCAATTCACAGTAGAAATAGAAAACAATTGTTCCTTAGCTTTCTTAGATATCATGATTACAAAACAGAATTGCAGGTATATCACCAACGTATACTATAAGCCCTCCTTTCATCCCTCCTATATACAATATTCCTCATACTGCCCCCTCAGCCATAAAATTAATACTGTCAAAACCCTCTCGAAACGTATTTTTACACACTGCTCAACGTCTGAATTTAAACAAACAGAGACCCAAAATGTGGTTAATCACCTAATTAACTCAGGTTACCCCAGAAACTTCATTCTCCGACACTTTCACAATCCCCAACAGCAGCTAAACAGTCAGACTTATAGATCGACTTGCATCATCCCATACTCCACCTGTAGTATCAACATCTCTAGACACTTAAAAAACAAGTACGGAATCCGCACCTATTATACCAACACTCCTAAATTAGAAACAATAGTTAGAAACCCCATCACCAGAAATAGTTTTCCCATTACCCTGCCATATCTTACAAACTCCGTGTATTCCTTAAAATGCTCAGATTGCAACAGTTTGTATATAGGAGAGACAGGCCGAAGAATCAAGGATAGGATAGACGAACACCACAGAAACATCAGAAACAGTGAACCTAGATCTCTCATAGTGCAACACATTAGACATACAGGACATTCTTCTGATACCTCTCACCCACAGGCATATTACTCAGGAATCAAGAGCAAATACAAAAGATTGGTAAGTATAAGAGTTCAAGGCATGCGAGGATGCGTTTCTTAAAGAAACGCATCCTCGCATGCCTTGAACTCTTATACTTACATTATTCAGAGGATTTCATCTCTTTTTACAAAAGATTGGTCGTCGAGGCGTTGCTCTCTTTAAGTCATAATAGTATTAATAGACACATAGACATCCCTGATATATACAAAGCAATATAGCTATAGTGTACCTTAGGTGACCATTGCCAGTACGTTTTATTTTGGCTTGTTTTACTCATGCTGCCTTAAATTGAATTGTATCTTAAACGTGAAGCTTCTTTTGATTTCCCACTTGGCATGCTCGGGGCACGCGGATATTTCTTACTGTTACTTTTCTCACTAATTTGCTAATACGTTTGTTTTTCTTGTATATATGCTAATTTTTCTCAATATGGATATATATATAAGATGCAAGTTTATTTAAATATGATGTCCTGTAGAAGGGTTATTGACCCGAAAGCTCGCCTTTATTAAAACTTATAAGAAACGCATCCTCGTACGCTTTAAATCTATTACTTATTTTCTTATATGTATTATTGTTATTTCTTATCCCCTTGTGTAAAGATTACACGAATTCCATGAGTTCATGATCTCATGGAATGGGGTATAGGGGTGCAGATTTCGTTGATCATGGCACCATGATCCAGGCACTCTTTGGTAAAAGTCTGACTTTGCCTGCAATTTGAGGCCGTTCCTAACATGGAATCCTTTGCTGTCAACTCTAACATGAGTACAGACGCAGCTCCTCCGTATCCCTGGAGTGGGATCATTGCTGAGGTCCATTAACCGGGTCAATTGAACCGGGTGTATTTCGTTTTGAATATTTATTATTTTAAGCATTTATTGAAATTGTTTAAAGAATCACTATACACCTATCCCCCGATTTACACGGTACTTGTTTTACACGTTTTCGCTTTTACACGGTTTTCCAAATAAGTTTTTTTTTATCGCACTATACTAAAATGCGATATTCTACTCTATACTACCTATGTTGAAAAGAATATTGGGAGGCTCTGATTCATGAGGGGGCGAACACCTATTCAGATTTGATAGTTTAATATACACCTATCCCTCGATTTACACGTTTTTCTCAGGAACGTATCTACCGTGTAAATCGGGGGATAGGTGTATTCTTTATAAAATTAGCGTTGCTATTTTTATTGATTTATTTCAACACACAAAACTCGATATCCCCGCTAGGGATAATTGCGTCTATTTATATTTTTAAACAGAAACAGTTATAAACTCATCATACAAGAAAAAAATTAATAATAATAATAAAAAATATAGATAAGGAACCTGATCCTTACAGATTAGAAGGATAACCATAAATATATTTACAAAGTGGCTAAATCTGTGACAATTCTCTTTAGTATTTACAAATTGATATCTACAACATTGTTAACTGTTTGTAAGAAATACATTTATTGGCAATGTGTTTCTTTTCAATAATATTGTAGCATAAGCTGACTTCATGTAAACACACACACACAAAAGCCTTTATTAAGACACACTGGTCTTATAGAGGATTCTCCCCGAGATTACAAGAGAGATAGGCCTGTGAAAGTGGGGAATATACAGAAGAAGAAAAAGAAAGATTATGTAAGTATGATATATACATACACGTACATATATACAACATAACAACAAAAGCCTCTGACAAACGTTAATACCTTTGCGGGTTAACACACAAAAATGGAGTAAGCTAGGGCCTAAATTAAATGTACCTTAATACACAGAAAAGCGTACACTCAAGAGCACAACACTAACAACAAAAGGGCGATAAAAATTTGACACCCCCATTAAGACCCAAAGTCTTACATAAGACTCTACTGCAGGATCCAAGAAGCAAAGTAAGAAAGAGATAAAGAAGTGAACAACAAAAAATATATATATAAAAATAATATACATATGTCATAATATATACCCTTCCTGGAATAATAAAGCAAACCTACAGTCAACCCAGAGAGAGATGGGCAGCTAAAGTACGGTCATTTGAGACACCAGCGACATTCCAAGGGGCGACCAGAGAGGCCCGGAGTTCTCGGGACTATTAAGATAGGATGTAAGGTCCGGTCACTTGAGATATCAGCGACATTCCAAGGGGCCCGTTACTTGGAACCTGAGCACTTTTAGGACAGTTGGGTGATTGTGTTCGACACGAACGGCCGGCCGCTCAGCGGTGGCAGGCCCGGCGGGGACCCCCCCTCTCTCTCTCTCTGGTTGTCTGGGTTCATCTTCCAACTTGTGGTGTGTTTATTTCTCTTTCCTTACCTTATTATTATATTGCCACATATATATATATATATATACACATATATACATATTCACTCAATTCAAAGTAACAGTAACGATGCCTTTTTATTCACTGCCTTGTAAAACCCACATAGATCCAGTGAAAACTTTCGACTTCATGTAAACATATCCATTGTTTATTGTAAAAATACAAAATATGTAAATTAATGAGAGAGATAGAAAAACTATCTTTATTTGTAGAGAGAGTGAATTAGTTAAACTTCTCTTGCTTATTAAATTCAATTGTAGTGATGAAATAATTAGCAAGTCGTATGACAATCAAAAGAAGTTTAACTAAGTCAATCTCTACAAACAAAGATAGTTTTATATCTCTCCCAATTTACATATTTTGTATTTTTACAATAATAAAATGACAATGGATATATTTACACAACACACACACAAAAACCTTTATTAAGACACACAGGTCTTACAGAGGATTCTCCTTGGGGTTACAAGACGAAGAAACCCATGAAAGTGGGAAATATACAAAGGGGTAAAAATGGAGAAAGATTATATACACATGATAAATATATACAGATTATTATTCGAATAATCCTATGGAAATTAAGAATATGGATTCGGAAAAAAAAAGTTTTTTTGGAAATATGGATGGGAGAAGTGGGAAGCGAAAAGGGGAAAGAAAACAGGTATTTACATATGGAACATACTTATAATGGAACAAGTCAATTTAAGCTCTTCTGCTCACACAGCACAGGTGGACCATGGCTTTTTTCAAGAAATCTTTAAGAAATTTTCCAGGAAAATCCGAGTGTTCAGAGTTGTCAATGGATATATTTACATGAAGTCGGCTTATGCTACACTTGGTGCCGAAACCCGGGATCGAACCAGGGACCTTTAGCATCATATAGCATCAAATATTATATCTACAGATCTCTGACAGTAAGTACATTGCCAGTACATTTATTTGTTACAATCTTTATCGATAGATGGCAATTGAAATTTATTATTAACTGTCTGTTGTCTAGCGCTAAAAAAGAGTAGTCATTCCAACAGTAGGTGTCTCGAGTTCTGGGTTTCCTATCTACAGTAATGAAAAATGAAATTGTAATTCCATACGGAGAAGAGAAAGGATCGGAGAAGAGTTTCTAATTGCCAGTTTTGTCTAAATGAGGTTCATGAATTAATGCAACAGCCCGGTCAAGCAAGCCTCTTCCTCCAAGGGCTTCAAGTTCGTGAAGTGCTTGGGAAACCAGGAGACCCCGTGACCCGTGAGCTTCGGCAATTTGCATTCATCATAGAGGGAAACTCCGGTCTTTTGGCAACACCCTTTCTGGTTTCTATAGAAAGTATAGTTTGAATCACAAGTACATTCTATATAGTCTGTGTGTCCTTTTGATCACAAAGGTTAAAGTTTATATGGAAAATATTCAAGTTTTGCAATAAACTTTCTCGACATTTCTCATAAATATATACAGTATATTTTTTAATAAAAATAAAAGAAACGTTCTGAAATTTTGGCTAATTATAGAATTTTAAAAGTTGGTAAGACTGTCTTATTTCAAAAGTTGGTTTAGTTTTATTTTACAATATATTTTCTCTTACTAGCTGAAGCCATGTCAGATACTGTATGAATGATGTAACTGATTAAAATTGTATCTTCTCTCAAGCTGCGAAAATTGTATTCTGATTATAAAAACCATAAAGAAAGAAAGATAATTATATATATAACGTGGCAGTGGTGGGATTCGAACCCACGCCTTATTGAGACCGGTGCCTAAAACATCGCCTCAAACCACTCGGCTTCGCTATCTTGAAAAAAAAAAAAAAAACGCAACCGACAGGATTCGAACCTGTGCGAGAAACTTCAATGGATTCCAAGTTCATCGCCTTAACCACTCAGCCCCGACTGCTTGAGATACGGCGGTCAGACGATCCAGTGTTCGAGATGCAGTGCGTGTTGTGATAAGTAGGAAAGACATGGACTTTCCACACAGCACCACATCTTCCTCTAAGCTCTCCACCTGGAACCTGATCCGTGCATTTTCCTCCACCCAACGATGTCAGAAAGCTCCATGAGCAGTTTGGCCGTTTAGCATCATTCTGTGGTGTGTCAATTTATTAGTCCAACGATGACCCAGAACGTATTTCAAAGTTAGTGTTTATCAGTATTACGTATTAGCTATATTTTTATAGGAAGTTGATAAAGGAAGACAAAAGGACAACACCCTAGAATGTCTATTGGGTTCTGATTGACTTCCGCCGATCTGCCGCGCCACACAGCGGTGGCCATCCGTACTATTTCCAGGCCCCGCTTGTATGTTTGCCGTGGTCTGTTATCCCAGCAGGCTGGAAGGAAGTCTCTTGGCTCCCACAGTCTTCGCAATCTTCGTGATGAGTATCGGAGCAGTGTTGACTAGATCACGGAGGTCAAGCTACACAGAAGATGAACCCAACTTGATGAAAGATTGATGTAATTCTCCATTTTCTGTAGATAACTGTTATGTTTACTTCTGTTTACCTATCTAGGAGAATTCTGTATGGGACGAGTGTCCTTAATAAAAACAATTTAAACAATTTTATTGATTCTTTCAATCAAATTTTACAAAGGTGGAAAAATAAAAGAGTAAAAGGGCATATAAAGTGTAGGGGAATATATATACAAATATCTTCAGCAAGAAAGGCTTCCCCGCCTTGAGAGAGTCCTTCTCCAGACAAGGAGGGGGTCTTCTTGTACACTCCTAAGTTCCACGCCGAGGAAGTACCTATAGATGCACGTCTTGGCAGACGCCAGGATGGCCAGGGCGTCATCGTCTAGGCCATGCCCGAAGATCCAGCGTCCTTAATAAAGCCTTTTGTTGTATTATATTTCGATATAAATATCTTCTTGAAGTTAAGGCATCAGCAACAACTCGCAATAACGAGTCAGAGTGCTGGAAAGGATTGTTATGTACGATGTTTAATCACATAAGTTATTGCAATAAAAATATTTTCGAACAAGCTTATTCCTCCTTGTAGACAATTAACATAATTTTATTGAGATCTTATCAATACAGTAGAACCTCCCTGTAAAGGACACTTAATTGAAGATCCAAAATGTCCTTTAGGGAGAGGTGTCCTATTACCGGAGAGTTGCTAAATTGTAAAAATGGTAATTTTTGGAAATTAAAACTGTTCTTTGTGGAGAGGTGTCCACTAGCGGGGTGTCCGCTAAAGGGAGGTTCTACTGTACATGCAAAAGTTCACAGTATGCACAGTTACTTCTTGTGATGGTGTCTTGTTCATGTAGCAGATCAGATCGGTCCATGCACCCTGATCACAATACCCGCCTTCAAAGATTACTTCTTGTAGATATGTGATAAGTATAATTGGTGAACTCTGTAGAGAACATCGAGTGTGTTTCAGAAAGAGACGCGACAGCTTGAGACAGCAGAAAGCAACGATCCCTATGCAGCAGACTACCAGCGTTACAAGGCGCTGTGTCGCGGTGACGTGGTATGTCATCTGACTCCTGTCACCTGTCTATATGTCTGACACGTGGGCTGCAGGCGCCAGAACAGCAGACTCGGCTGCGCTGTTATCTCTCCAGCCATCACCCCTTGTTGGTGCTTAGCCCGGCCAGGGTAGAAGAGCTCAACCTGGAGCCCCGCATTCTCATCTTCCACAATGTCCTGAGTGAAAAGGAAACCGACGGCTTCATCCGTCTGGCCAGACCTCTGGTAATAGACACACACATTTTGTCCCTTATTTGTTGTCAGTTCATTTAGCTGGGTAGATCATAATTATACAATTTAAACACTATTTTATAGATTCTTCGAATTAATTTTATTTCTATCTATTTATTACAAAACAATCAATTGTATAAACAAGATAACAGATAAGAGAAAATAGTTATTTAAGACAACCTAAAATATTATTCTTAATGTTGTCGAAACGTTACTGTTAAAAAACGAAACTGTTACCTAAACGTCACACACTATTAATTTATTTGGATTAGGTCTTATTTTCTTGTAGCTATAATCTATAATCCAAATTATGCTTTTATTATATTTTATCAGAAGTAAGAAGATAAATGAAATTTTTAGATCAGTGTTTGAAGTAGGAAAGGTAAGAGTTGTCACTGTGTCTGTGCAGCTAAGCAGGTCCATGGTCCAAAGCCGCGAACAGCTCGAGGACCAGGTGTCTACAGTAAGGACATCTCAGAACGCCTGGTTGACACCTGAAATGTCACCGCTGATGCTATCCCGAGTGGCCCAGCGGGTCTCGGCGCTGACAGGACTGTCCATCGATCCCAAGAGTGACCATTCAGAGCTGCCGCAAGTGGCGAACTACGGCATTGGAGGCCACTACGTTCCACACTTCGACTACCTCATCCTGGACAAGACCCCAGCAGAGGTAGATACTACAACATCGAACTGTCCTTCAGGATCTACTAATATTACGATCGTAGTGATTCCCTTGTTTTACTTCATCATCTCATATGACCGAATTACATACAACTTATGTATTGTGTTTTGTATTTTCACAGTACCGCACTGTCGGAATTTAAAAGTGTAAACTTTCCCACTAGGACGGCATTCAAAATGTATTACAAAATAAGTCCACACTATTTGATACTATATAAGAAAATTAAACTATTTTATTTTCTTTCTAAAATAAAGTAATGCAAAATAATGGGAGGTCCTGGCCCATTAGTGATGAACCCTCCCAGCGATTTCGTCAGTTTAATCCACCATACCGCTGTAATATTAAATTTAGCTGTTTTACTTTTGTACTGATACTGAAGCTAAACTCTTGGAAATGGTATTTTTAAAAACTTGGCAAATTCGGTCGATTTGATGATCGAATCGTAGCCACCCAGTATCTGAACCAAAAACCTCTGCATAGTATTTTTTACTTTTTCTAGTGGATTTTTACTCACTAACAGCCCAAGGTGAATAATTAAAACAGGATATCACATGTGTCTCAGGTTTTCTTGCTAAACTCATGTAAAGTGCGCAATGTGGAATGTTTCAGTGAACACATGAGTAACTTGCCATGGTTACTGTCATCGACCCTGGATTCTGTATTACTGCTTCAATAGGCGGCGAAATTTCTCGAGACAAATTTTGTTTAAATTTGTGATAGATATACTGTTCTCTTGAATATAGAAGTTGTCTGGCTGGCATTCATTGTTCTTGAAATAAGAGACACTTCAGTTAAAAGTATTGGTTTCTTATTTAAAGAGTATGCTGTTACAAAGGTCGACACACAAAGATATATGTATATAAAAATATATTTTTTTAAATGCTCCAATGGCCCCCGATTCTTACAAAAGTCCAACCCCACCAGCGAGTGCAAGTAACCAAACGGGTCTCTGGCACATTTGTAAGTGCAAAGTCGAACTGCTTTTCACATGTGTAGACATGTGGTGCACTTACAGTAAAAGCAGTCGCCTACTTCTACCCACCATGATTATCATGGCCTGTACCACGTGTACTAAGGATGAGCAAATATATATATATAACGACTTTTGAAATTTATCCCGCAAGTGTTTCTTTTCAACGAAAAATCAAAATTTATTTTAAGGAGAAATAACGATTATTTCTAACCTTAGGGATGAAATATGAAAGGATGAATTGTGAAGAGTAATGATAAACGGAAAAATAAACTCTTCACAATTCATCCTTTCATACTTCATCCCTAAGGTTAGAAATAATCGTTATTTCTCCTTAAAATAAATTTAGATTTTTCAATGAAAAGAAACACTTGCGAGATAAATTTCAAATGTCGTTTTACAATCACAAGCCGTATTATATTGTATTATATATATATAGGTATTATATTTACTTGCATCCTTTCATTTGTGAGGAAAAAATGTCATCCAGGGACAATTGTTTCTTATAAGAATGATGTATAATTAACTGAATATTTTTCGGACCTTGGAGTCTTTCTCCAAGAGTGATGCTAACTCTAACTATAGTATAAGATTAAATATCAACTTCATCTCTTCTTTTTTATCTCCAACGTTTCGGTTACTCACTTGTCAAGGAAACCAATCTTTTGTTGCTTATTTTTGCCACTTTATGAAGATTCTAAGAAACTTGTAGACCGTATACTGCGCGTGGATATTTATAAACAATGAAGGATATAAACAAAAGTTTTATTATTATTATTATCCCTAGTACACGTGGTACAAGCCATGATAATCATGGTGGGTAGAAGTTGGCAACTCCCTTTTACTGTAAGTGTACCACATATCTACATATGTGAAAAGCGTGGTGTCGCTGGAGACCCACTGGCAATTCCTCATCAAACTCTGCAGCGCTGGCAGAGGCGCCATATTCATTGTACATAGTGTATATAATCCATATTATCTTTTTTTTTAAATAGTGCAGACTGTGCACTTTGTATGTATTGACAAGATGTCAATAAAATTATTTTAATTGCCAATTGTCTATACATGTGAAAAGCAGTTCGACTTTGTACTTATAAATGTGCCAGAGCCCCGTTTAGTTACTTGTACTCGCTGGTGGGTTTGGACTTTTGCAAGAATCGGGAGCCATTGGAGCATTTTTTATTATTATTATTAGAAAAAAAAGTGTCCAATGCGGGATTCAATCCCGGATCGTAACGGTAGAAAACCAACGGTTTAGACCATCCTTCCACCGACCCCCGTAAACAAGAGTTAAAATCATAAGATAAACAATGGGAGTGGTTTCCTTGACAGGAGGGTCGCAGTGGGTCACCGTATTGATGGAAATAAAGAAAGTTGTGCATATTTTCGGCTACATGAACTCAGTAGAATTTAGTTTAAATATATACGGATAAAAGATTACATGAGGAGCTTCTTTTTAGAATTTATTGCGAGCTTTCGAACCTTTCGGTTCTTCTACAGTCATGGATAGCATGAATGGTTAGTATATTCATGGCA